ACGTGCGTGCACATTGGCGCAAGTGACCTAGCTAGGCTGGCAACGTTGGTTTGAATTGATTGAAACAATGTTTAATTCTCTCTCGCTCTCGTGGTTGAACGTACCCAATCTTGCACAGGAAACAAAATGCTTCAACCAAACCATTGACAAAAAAAAAAAAAAAAAAGATCTGTGTGTCCATCTCAATCTCCTCATCCCCACCGAATCAACTCTGTGCAACTTCTTAAACTCCTCGCAGCTTAGGTTGTGGGGAGTAGCTCTCCTCGTGCATGTAATGACGGTTGCTTCATTCTCCTTATTATAAATCAAAGCTACGAAACTAGATCTTTCCAAAAAAAAAACTCTGTGCAACTAAAAAATGCCTTAAGTTTGTTCTTCTACTATGTGCTGCCGTGTCTGTGTATAAACAACCAATCAAAGAAGGATAGCTAGGGGACAACGGGGAAGAGAACAAGCAGCCAAAAGTAGATAGATCAAAGAGGAGCTCTACATGAGTTTATCCGGTTCTATTTGAGTCCGTGTCGGGCCTGTCCCACATGTCAGTGACCTAGCTAGGCAACGTTGGTTTGATTGAAACAATGTTTACTAATTCTCTCTGTCTGGCTCTCGTGCTTGAACGTACCCAATCTTGTACAGAAAACAAAATGGTCCAACCAAACCATTGGCAAGAAAGATCTGTGTGTCCTTCTCAAACCCCTCATGCCCACCGAATCAACTCTGTGCAAATGCCAAAATGCCTCAAGTTTTTCTACGTGCTACCGTGTCTGTGTCTGTGTATAAACAACCAATGAGAGAAGGATGAAAGAAAAGTTAGGTGACAAGGGGGAACAGAGGAACAAGCCAAAAGTAGATAGATCAAGGAGCTCTACATGAGTTTATCTGGTTTTATTGGAGTCCGGCCAGCCTGCCCCACATGTCAGGCCAGGCCTGCTGTGCTGCTCCGCCGGCTGCTCGACCTTCAATTCACCTCACTTCACCCCGCCCGCCACCGGAAGCCCGTCGCCGGCGTGCCGCCGGAACACCATGGCGCACTCGGGCAGCTCGCCGAGACCCGCGAACATGGCGTCCTCCTCGCCCCCTTCCCCGTAGTCGAACAGCCCGCCGACGTCGCCGAACTCGTCGGGGAGGGGCGCGGCGGGCGGGGCGGCGGCGCCGTAGAACATCGTCGCCCCGTACAGCATCTCGTCCGCCACCTCGACGTCCGAGGGCGACGCCGAGGAGGTGACGGACACGCCGTCGTAGAGCCACCTGAACTCGTCGTGCACCTCGACGGCGGCCGCCGCGCCAACGACCTCGGTCTCGGCTGCAGCAGCAGGCGCGCCGCCGCCGCAAACCGTGGCGGCGGCGACGTCGTGGCTGCCGGATGACGGGGACTCCGCCGGCTCCGGTGGGACTGGCTGCTGCTGGGCCGCCTTTGGCTTCGGGGCCTGGAGGTTCTGCGCCCTCGCCACGGCGTTGGAGTGGCTGTGCTCGAACGAGTACGTGACGATCACCTTGTCCGGCTCCGCCCGGCTCCGTTCCACCTGCTTCCTCGCCGGGCACCCCTTGGAGCTGCTGCACCTGTAGTAAGCCCTGCTCCGAACGACAAAACCGAAATCCAGATAAGAAAAAATTAAAAAAATCTAGAGTGGTGCATCCACAAGAACTCGAAGAACACGGGGCGATCATGTAACTATGGATGCATGATGATTGATTGATTTTAGTACGTGCCGTGTACCTCGGAAAAGGCGAGCCCTTGATGGGCTTCTGGCCGTACTTCCGCCACGCCCACGAGTCCGTCGGCTTGTTGCCCTCGCCGACGCCCTTGGGCCGAGGCCCGCTGACGTCGGCCAGCGGCACGGTCACCACCCGCTTGTTCGCCGACCGCCTCCTCCCGGTACCGGTAGCAGCAGCTGGCGACGTCGACGGTGGCGCAGGCGACACCGGCGACCCTGGGCAATCAGCCGACGACGAAACGCCACCAGCAGCGCCAGCCTTGCTCTCGCCGCCGGACACCGTCGGCGAGGACGCCGCCGCCGCGTCGCTCCACTCGCCGTCCATTTGCCCGGTCAGGCCCAGAGAGGATGAAAGCGCGCGCGCGGCGTGATCGACTGGAGTGGAGACAGCCGACAAGACAACGGCCGGGACGGGGCGCGGCAGGTTTGCCGGAGCAGTTCTCGGCCTGATCCGAATCCGATGTCACCAGCTGCCCCGAGGCAGCGCATCCTCCGCGGGATATAAAGAAACGCAACGGCGGTGCGGTGTGGAAGTGATCGAGCTAAACTAGTACCACGAGGGAGGCTACGTACGACGCGGTGACTGACGGTGTCGGGTCTGTTTGATAATAGGCTTTCGAACACACGGTGAGGAAAGACGACGTCGAAAATATCTCCTATTGTGGTACTGTAGCTGCTGTAGAGGCAGGCGTCGAACGGCTCATCTGCCGTATTGTAGCCACGTGCAGGAAAAGGCGCAGAAGTCATTTTTAGTGTGTTATCTAGTCAATGTGGCAGCAGAGTAGCTGTACTAGGACTAGATGGATAGAGTTGTATAAATAGACTGCCACTGTAGCTTAGTAAAGGGAGTTTAGATTTGTTATCTTCCATACAGGGCTTCGGTGTGCTTGTACTGTGTATGCTCATCCGATGATGCTGTGGGTTAACAGCGTCCTGGGTTCGTACGGTGTGATTGGCGGGGAGGACGTGGGTTTTTGTGGGCGCGCACGCTGGCTGAGCTAGGCTTGGAGACCGCGGGGAACTTAAACAAAGAGGAGAGACAGCCAGACAGGCTGCTTGAGAAGACGAGCGCGAGCGGTGCGACGGCGACGTCTCCCCAACTAACGATCCCCATGTCCATCCATGTCCGTGTCTTGATGATCGATCATCGTCCCTCATCTGTCAGCGGTTGCTTTGCTTATTCCTTGGATCGATCGGGAATTAGACGAGAAGCAGTATTAGTTATCTTATTAATTAATCATCGTACGCATATTATGCATTGGAGTGGTTGGTGTGTAATAGCAGACGAGCGTGGTTTCGAACCGAGGAAGAAATCAGCAGCAGCTTCGGTTCGCCGTCATGCCCACGCGCTGCAACAGTGACTGTAACTGAGGCCCGTTCGAGAATTGCATTTATTTTTCAAATTTACAGTGCTTTTTCTCACAACAATTTAGTTGGAACATCGTTTTCACCCGGGCCAGTAAAAGGAACGGGGCCTGAGACGTGCATCGCAGTGGCAACTCATTTCAGAGCCGGAGCCCGGCAGATCCCATCACCATCCACGCGTTTCTATCGAGGGTTACATTGACAACTACATACGCCGGAATTCTTTTGCCGCCTACTCCTATAAATAAAAGAATCTAGATTATAGAGGCGTGCGATATTTCGGCAGATGCGTCAAGCTAAGAGACAGGAGTAAGGTCGTGGTAATTCAGGACAGGACTTGTCGTTATCCCCATTGCTTGGGCAAAACAACAACTACTTCGCTACCAGCAGCCAGTACCATTTTCTTCAGAATTTTACAAGTCGATTACTTCCTCTAGGTCTAGGAGAGTCTAGATATGATATGATATTCTGGCCTGGGTCAAATTAACCTTTGGATGCTGGGAACGAACTGAAGGCCGAAAGCCGAATCCCATTCCCAGGACGGCAGGACGTCATGTCAGACATATTCCTTAGCAGCTTCGTGTTTGACAGGTCCAATAAATCCAACCGCAGCCATCATCATCATCGTCCAATGGTGAACAGCCTTGCGCAAATTCTTGCATGGAAATAGACATCACGCGTTCCATACATCCACTGAAACACGAAGCCATCCTTTTTTTTGGTTTGTTTGTTTTGCGAATTCTTCGATCGTGCTCTGACGGGATTATTCAATCGTTGATCTGTTCAGTTATAGCATCACAATCCTTCTCGGCTGCTGAATTTCTTTATTCCTTGGATGTTGTCATCCATCCTGACTTGTGGATCCTGATGACTTGTTTTTTTTTAGATGGAACTGATGACTTGTTCAACCGAGGCCTGAATCATGAGTTGGCAGCGGCATCACACCAGCAGGCAGCACCAGCTGCATCTCGTCTCGTTCACCGCTTCACCAGTCACCGCTACCTCTGCTCCCATATAAAACTCCAATCCCGTTTGACAAAAAGCTCAACCACAGGTTAGTTTATCTAGGGATCGGAAGAGAGGGTGCAGTGCAACTTCATGGCCTGCTCAAAACTTCCCTAGCATCGGATGGGAACGCGGGAACAGCTGGTGTTTTGAAATAGAAAAAGGAAACAGAAAATGATTGTGGCATATGTTAAGCTGGTCACCAGCAGAATGCAGCATGCATGTCTGTATGAATAGTTTTAGCAATACCATCAGCGCAATCTGGGGCTGTTTGATCCATAGACTCTCAACTGCTCAAGCCCTCAAAGTGGAGGGCATCATGGGACAAGGTCTTCTAGTTTATGTCTGAACTATTTGCTTCGCTCTATGAACTACTATGAGATTTATAGACTACCACATAAGATTGAAGTGCTTTCACCTGTAGTCTATGGAACTATATTTATCATCTTTGATGAGATGAAATTATAATGATCATTTAATTCGAAGGCCGTCTATCCTTTTTCTTAAAAGTTCAGAGGCAGTGCAGCGAAGGACAGGTCGACAGGAAGTCTTTTTTTTTTGAGTGGAGACAGGAAGCCATTTGTGCCTGAGAGGGCCGAACGGAAAGCCCTTTCGGGCGAGACCGTGGAAACGTAAGCAGCCCATCCAACTTGGGCCGTTAGTACAAGGTTGTGGGTGTCTTCTCAGAGATGCCAAGGGCCGTTTTGAAGCCTATATAAGATAATTAAAGAAAAAGGCCGTTTGATGGTCAGTGTCCCTGCCCACCGGCCCACATTGACGTCGCGGCCCACCGGCAGGGACACTGACCCCCGGTGGATTCGGAGCCTTTCGACACTCTCGGAGCCTCCCCTCCTCAAGTGCAGCTCCGCGCTCTGCCTCATGCTTCGATTCGAGCGGTGAGCACTCAGCACCCTCTCACGCCGCCGCCGCGGCGCCAACATGAAGGCCATAGGGAACGGCGGGGAGTGGTGGTGGAACCTTCCCTCTCTCCGCCGCAAGTCCGACTCCTGCCGCCGCGGTCGCCGCAACACTGACCCCCGCGGCCGCCGCCGCGGTCCCCCGCGGGAGCCGCTCTCGTCGTCCTCCTCCTCGGAGTCCATCGAGCAGGTCCGCGGCTGGCCCATCGAATTCCCCTTCAGGCAGGCTGTCACGGCGGCCTCTCTCACCTTCACCGGCGACACCATCGCGCAAGTCCGCGGCCGCATCGTCGACCGCCGAAGATGCTGTCCCGACTCCGACACCAAGGTCACCCATCCCCTTTATCGTGCACCTTATGCCTTGAATGCTTAGCCGACTTGGTAGTGTTTTTTAATACCCCATCCGTTCCAAATTATAAGATGTCATTGCTTTTACTCCTATAGTTTGGAACGGAGGGGAGGGAGTAGAAAGCATGAGAGCAAATTAAATCCATATAGATTTTGGTTTTGTATGACTGTATCTTGAGACCATAGCAGATGCCACCTCAACGCTATTCCACTTCAGTATTTTTTACCTTCAAATGCAGATTAAATTGTAATGCTCAAGTATGTGCATTGTGCAGTGCGCGTGTGATCCAACACTACCAAATCAAATTTTTGGATAGTATATATGGTGCTGGCATTGTAGCAATGGGCATTCTAATGAATGCTTGTGCAGCACATCATTTTGTGATTTTGATATCTATCGAGGTGCTTGTTTCAGGAACTCATACCAGACATATTGCTGAACCATGATTGGATTCGTGCGCTTCGTATGGCTTCCTATGGACTTCTTCTTTATGGTCCAGGTTCATACGCATGGTATCAGCTCCTTGATCGGTGCATGCCCAATCAGACGTTTGTAAATTTGTCTGCTAAGGTACGCTTTGCTTCTCCTTTGGTAGCCTAATGCGCTGGGCTATTTAAGTTTTTTAATGCAAAGCATCCTTTTTCTTATAACTATTTGTCATTTCAGGTCATCCTGAACCAGATTGTGCTTGGTCCTTGTGTTATTGCTGTAATATTTGCTTGGAACAACTTATGGTTGGGGAAACTTTCCGAACTCCCATCCAAATATCAGAATGATGCCCTTCCTACGCTTCTATATGGTAATCCTTCTGCCTGAATGTATTATATCTAAACAACTTTAGCAGAAATAACTGATACTATTATATGTTTCACTCTGTTATGGATATCACAGGGTTTAAGTTTTGGATTCCTGTATCAATTGTCAACTTTGGGTAAGGATACTTAGCTTGTCATTTTTCATATTCATCTCAGATGTTTCTAATCATGGCTATGGTTGAATAAACTGGGTGCCTTTTTAATCACTGCTTAATCCATTAGAGCAATGCAACTGGTTTTTATGCTAGTTTTTTTATGCGCGTACCAGGGTTATTCCCTTGGCTGCTCGTGTCGCCTTCATGTCCTCTTGTTCCATTTTTTGGAACTTTTATCTGTCGACCACAATGAGCAAATGAAACCTCCAGTTGTCAGGTTGGTCTTTACCCAACTCAATCTTCAACCTATAAACTTCTATTGCCTCGGTTTAAATTTTTAATTAGTGAACAACTTGGCTGATAGTACCTGCACTTGTTGACGTTTGACACCATGTAAACTAATTTCTTTGGTCACCTGATGTGGATCATTTCATGCACAGTTGCCTACCTATCTGGAACTTTCTGCTGAACAATCTGACATGGTTCCTCATACTCTGATAGAGGGTGCAAAATGTATGTAATTTTGCTCAGGCTGGTTGGATTCATTAAACAGAGGAGCATCTGAAGGAGTTAGTTTCAGCAGGAATAACAGTGTTGTAAGGTCTGTCTTTGGACAGTCCTTGTGATGTAGTGACATTACTGTGAGGCCTTACTCAGATGTTGATGAGCATAAGGTCAATGGAGGGTTGTGCAGTTTTGTCTAATCATGATTGAAGCATCTTTCTCCAATTTGACTTCAAAAAATGGGGTTGAGTTTGTTATGTGGGATGTGTATTGTAGCAGCAAACTTATTATCAGTTTCCCTGACCAGACCATCTATCATGGAGATCAAAGACATTTGAATTCCACGCTTGCTTGATTATGTTTCCACGACGACCATGATCCCTAATCACAACCCCACCCACAACATGGAGCCCTCCTAATCTTTCTAGCCATGGGGGTGGGGGGGCACTGGACTGGACGTTGAAGATGACATGAGCCCTCTACTTTTCTGTTCTAGATCCACCTGCCGACCAGAATGTGTACCAGAGCTGAAAGGACCCATCAGAATTTAGGGTATGTTTGGTTCAAGTCACATGACATCACACTGCAAGTGTGGTGAACAATTTCGGCGCCAGACCTTAGGACGTCAGCCTTTGGCGTGCCGAACACCGAGCAAGCACCTGACTAAGGCCTTGGTTCAGCTTATGAGAGTCTCGCTTATAAGTTGAGCAGAATTATATAATAAGCTATGATGTAGAAAATCTGCTGTCTAAATAAGCGGGGCGTTTGGCTGTCCTGATTATTTCGGTATGACATTTTACACTAGAAACCCCAAACTTTTCTCAAATTGCGTAGCACTATTTACTACTATTTCTGTGAGTCTATAGCCTTGCAACTGGACCCAAATAAGAGTTTCTATTTGCATCCCGGTCCTTCTTCTTCAATCGACGCACGAACTCGGAGGGAGCCGGCGGTGAGGGAGTGACCCGGTCGTGGAGGCCGCCGGCCGAAGGCCAGATCCGGCATGGACCTGCTCCCTGCCGGCGGATCTGGTCCAGGGCTAGGCTAGAGGGAGGCGATGATGGTCGTGGAGGCGGGAGCCAGATCGGAGGGAGGCGCTGACGGATGGAGCGGTGCCGGGGAGGGAGGCGGCGCCGGGGATGGAGACCGCGCCGGGGAGGGAAGCCGCGTCGGAGATGGTGGCCGCGCCAGAGATGGTGGCCGTGCCGGGGAGGGAGGCGGCGCCAGGGATGGAGGGAGTGAGCGAACGCGAACCCGCGTTCTTCAAATCGCACTCCTTGTCTCGCGTTTCGGCCGTAGGCTATTTTCCGCTTATAAGCGGACGCGCGATGGCTGGTCGCGAGCGACGCAACCCGTTTGGCGAGATTTTTGGCTCATCTCGGTCGCGAACGCGAGAATGAGCGGAACCAAACAGGGCCTAAGAACCTTCGGGTGTCTCCTGGTGCATTGCTTGTTTTACTGGCTGTTCTCTGTTCCTCCAAAAATCAAAAGTATATTCATGATCTCTCTGCCGCGTAAACTTGAACACTATAAGCCAATTTAGCGGCCTCCTATGCCATTCATACTAGCATTTCCACGTCAGTGCCAGAACTTTAACAAGGCTTTCTATTTGCAAGGCCACTAAATTCTTTGTCACTGTACCTGCTAACATGCAATCCACGAGCTTACTGTGCACTTGGGTCAGCTGACCCACCAGGCCAAGAGGCAGCCATATTTCTCTCACAAGTCACAAGCCTACACTGAGAGAGAGAGAGGTGCTACAGGTAGCTACAAAGGCAAGCCTGACAAAGTCTACAGCATTCAACCGTTATTGGAGTCTGATCCTTCCTCCGTCGTAAAACCAGACACTTGACCTCAGACTATCATTCTATTCGTTGGCTTCGTTTCGCTGAAATTTGAATGATGCTGATTTGTTGTGAGAGTAAAACAATGTTTCTTCGCTATAAAGTACTGCTAAAGAGTGCTGAAAAACAGGGTCATTACCGTTTACTTTACCTCCCTGGTTCAGTTTCGGTTTGGCCTGAAGTGGCATGGTGATGGTTTTAATACATCAAACACGGTGAATTGGATCGGATCATGAATGCCATGAGAATTTCCTTTTTTTTAAGTAAAAACTATCTTCTCTCTCGCTCCTGTGGCTATAATATCATAGACGGGGAAGGGCGAGAACTCTTGTCTTCTTTGGTTTTTAGGAAGAAAGGAGAAGAGAATGGTGAGAACGCGAGAGTGGCATGTGGACCTATTATTCTATTTTAGATGAAGCCTATATTTCAACCTTCAACTATCATTTTGGTCTTATGTTCAATCCTAAACTATAAAACTGGACAATGGACGTGCCACAACTATTGAAGCTGGATGAAAGACAACTCCAAAGTAATTTTGTCATGGTTTTCATCCCACATGGTGCCTCTGTGGAGTTGTTTTGACAGTATGACTCTAATACCACTTCAATCAACAACTACTCTATTAATATAGCATCTATGTGATACAAAAATAAACAAGCATTTTCTAGTATGCATCTAATAACATCAATTTTATATTATAGAAATCATGCATGATTAAAAAAGTTGCTATCAGCTCTATTACAATTTTAGACATTCATTTTCAAAAATAGAAAAAAGGTATTACTTAGGATAAAATTTAAACGGACTTAAGAAAATATATTGGAAAAATATTTTTCCAAGTAACATGATTTTTTAAGATGATGTCTAGATTTTGACCTTCAACTATCATAAAAGTTCAATTTTTAAACCATTAGTTGACGTACCAAAGCCGCTCCACACAAATGCTATGTGGAATGAAAATCATCATAATTCTTTAAACCATTAGTTGAAGTGTCAAAACCGCTCCACACAAGTGCCACGTGGAATGAAAATGATGTAGAATTTGTGTGGAGTTGTGTTTGTCCGGATTTGATAGGTAGGGAGTGTTTAGTGTCCAGTTTTGTAGTTTAGGGTTGAAAGTCGGACTACCTTAATAAGTATATATAGTTAAATGTTGAAAATGGGACTTTACCCTTCTATTTTCATTAGATGTCATGTCAATAAATGATGTGTCAAAGCCATTCTTTACAAATGCCACATTTATGCCATGTCAGCCAAAAACAACTTCAATTGAAGTCAATGAGGTAACTACCTGCTTTCCATAGTTGATGGGTTGTCATATCTGATTTTTTGACAATTGAGTGAAAAAATAGAATTCAACAAATATTTGATAGAATTAATTATGATGTTTTTTCAAGAACAAGCAAACGCACACCATCCTGAAGTCACGGCCCATGGGCTTGCAAGATTGTCTAAAAGATGGCATTCCCACTGGGGTTACAACTCGGAAGGAAAAAGTCTATTATACCTCTTTGACCAATAGTCGTAATCTATTTTTTCTCATTGAACTTCAAAACCAGTTTTACCCCCTAAACTCCCGAGACTATTCAAATTACCTCTCCTCCCTGGTTTGGATTGGTTCCGAAGGCAGTTTTTTTCCTTTTTAGTAAAAAATTCAGTGTATGCTTGATAAGGTTTTCTAAACCATAGAAATTATATTTTAAAAATTCCCAAGAAATTCTATATATAGATTGGGATACGCCAGTCCAAATAAAAGATTTAAAACTCGTGAAAATATCTCTAAATGTTAAACAAACATTTAGATCTAGGAAAATAGATTAAAAAATCTAGAAAAATATAGAAAATTCCCAAAACATTCTAATCGGTGTATAAACGTGTTTTAAAAAAATTCACTGCGAAAATATGATATGCAACTAGCATGAATGCAGCATACTTAATGTTGAATGCATTCATGCTATGCATTTGTCTTGGTTGCATATTATGTTTTTTTTATTGTGGTAGACTTTAAGACACGTTTATACCTTGATTAGAATGTTTTAAGAATTTTCTAGTTTTTTCTAGACATTTTTTCATTTTCCTAGAGCTGTATCTATTTTTTAAGCATCTAAAAGATATTATCGTGAGCTCTAAGCATTAATATTTTATTTGAACATGGCGTATCCCAATCTGGCTGTAGATTTTTTAAAAAAAATAAGCTTAGATTAGAGATATTTTCTATGGTTTAAAAACCTAAGTATTTATCATTTGTTTGACTAATAAATATAAAACCATCTTCAAAACCACTCCAAACCAGGGCAGGGAGGTAATTTGAACGGTTTTGAGAGTTCAGGGAAGTAAAATGTTTTATTTTGAAGTTAGACGAAGAAAATCAAACTACGGAGACGTTCAGTGAGACAGAATAGACTTTTTCCAACTCAGAATTACAGATCCCACATGGACACAAAACTGAGGCCCAAGAAAGAATAGAAGAAGATAACTTACGGGCTACTTTTAAAACAAAACGTTGGTAGCTTGGTCAAACCCTATCTGTCACCTTCAAATTGTTTCAAAGAGGAAAAAATTCTGAGTTATTTTTCCCCTTTTCCAATTATTCAGCATATAACTGGCGCTGTAGTGGAAAGTCTAATAAAATACAGCCCAATCATGCGACATAATGTTCAGTGTCCATGGAGATCAAAGACATTTATTAGAGACTTCCGAATACAAAGTTTTTATTCTGGTCTGCCTATAAAAAATTTACACAGCATTTTGACAGAAGAATTTGCTATGCCACTTATATCATCATTTTTTACATGTCAAGAAATATACAGAATTGAGAGAGAGAAAAAAGGATCTACAAACTGACATGGCTACAGCCTACAAGGTACAGACGGAATAAATTATGAATGCTAAGTTAACAGGTTGTAAAATCTACTATTCAAATTCTTCTATCTTGGAGATTTGGTCGAAATGCATCTTCCGCACAATATGAGCCTTGATATAGCGTGTGACCTTCGATTCCTGACCTTAATTGACGAGAGCTGCGGGGAAATAATTGAATTAGTGGGAGAAGGTAAAATCATCAAGCACAACTCTATTTTAAGCCAAGCAAGATTTCAAATGCTATGTTGCAATTGGCCAGAAACTCAGACTCACCGGAACATTTTGACTACTAATGCTATCCTGACCTAACTATAAAACCTTCAACAACAACAACAACAACAAAGCCTTTTATGTCCCAAACAAGTTGGAGTAGGCTAGAGTTGAAACCCAGCAGAAGCTATCAAAGTTCAGGCACGTGAATAGCTGTTTTCCAAACACTCCTATCTAAGGCTAAGTCTTTGGACATATTCCATCCTTTCAAGTCTCCTTTTATTATCTCTACCCAAGTCAATTTAGGTCTTTCTCTACCTCTCTTCACGTTAGTATCCTGGCTTAGGATTCTACTACGTACCGGTGCCTCTAGAGATCTCCGTTGGACATGTCCAAACCATCTCAACCGGTGTTGGACAAGCTTTTCTTCAATTGGTGCTACCCCTAATCTATCACGTATATCATCATTCCGAACTTGATCCCTTCTTGTATGACCGCAAATCCAACGCAACATACGCATTTCAGCGACACTTATTTGTTGAACATGTCGTCTTTTCGTAGGCCAACATTCTGCACCATACAACATAACAGGTCTAATCACCGTTCTATAAAACTTGCCTTTTAGCTTCTGTGGTACCCTTTTATCACATAGGACACCAGATGTTTGGCGCCACTTCATCCACCCTGCTTTGATTCTATGGCTAACATCTTCATCAATATCCCCATCTCTCTGTAGCATTGATCATAAATATCGAAATATATCCTTCCTAGGCACTACTTGACCTTCTAAACTAATATCTTCCTCCTCCCGAGTAGTAGTGCCGAAGTCACATCTCATATATTCAGTTTCAGTTCTACTGAGTCTAAAACCTTCGGACTCCAAAGTCTCCCGCCATATATCCAGTTTCTGATTCACTCCTGTTCGGCTTTCATCAACTAGCACTGCATCTTCACTTGCTCTGTTGCAGCCACACAAAACCTCGAAAAGCTATTATAATTCTGACCACAATTTTGGCAAAATACCATCTACAAAATTGCCATCACCAGAGGAGTATAAATAAACAGATGCTAATCTTCACTTGCTTACACTCTGCAGCCATATCAATGAGATGTAAAGTCCCACAAGGATGGCAGAAATCAATTTAGCATGCATGCAAGATGACACCAATTCTCTTCTCTTCAGAATCAAGAGTCCCAGAATGTTCCTCTCCCTTGGCACTTGGGTAATCTGTTTAGAGGCATGGTAGTATGGTACTCTTCTACTTAAACAAATTCGTGACAAGATAAGATCTATTTCTTTAAAGAGTCATTTTGACTCGAGAAATGACCGAACTAAGGATATATCAAATCCACGTACATGTTCAGGTGAAAGGAGACTATGGAACTATCCAGACTTTAAGTACCATCCAGTGAAAATACATGATTAACCATGGTCTGTTCGATACATCCACAATATTTTTCAGACAAGTTTCTTTTTTTAGAATATATGCAAACGAGTTGTCTCAAATTTTGTCAGACTAATATGCAAAATGAGTTGTCTCGATTTTTGCCAGACTAATACGTAAACGAGTCAGAGTCTCAGAGATGAAAATAGCTGATACAAGCTAAAATGAAAGTTTCGACCCAGTAACACTGAATTCATTGGGGTATCCACAGATTATGATATAATACCAAATATGAAAGATTACCTTCCGACGAGTCCTTGACGTTCTCCAACAAAGTAGACTCGATTTAGGCTCCAACCTCCTGCGTACAAATACTTTCCCGGTGAGAAACATGCAATACAAATGCACAACCTCAATTGACAAATGAGTCAAAACATGTCTGGTACAATGGTATGGAGTATTGACCCCTACATGTTCAATGGTCCTTGTGATTTCAGGAAAATTATTATGAGACCGTTGGGTGTTGGCAGAACTTTTTTCATACGAGATTTATTTTATTTCTAATGTGAAAACACACAAGCAAGAGTTCTTATATAAAAGTTTGACTGAATTGATTGCAGGATAACAACACTTACAAATTCTCTTGCTCTAGCTTTTCAGCAATCGATATAGCTTTTCGTCTAGACCAGCCTCCTCGTTGAGAACAAGCTTCTGCCCTCCCAATAACATGAGCAAGAGATACCTTTCCTTTTACTATGCTGTTCTGTCGACGCTGTATGTTCCCATTTCTTCCTTTTCGATTAGTCACGCTCTCTTGGTTTGGTGATGACAAAGCTTCCTCCTCCCATACATTATCCTTTCTTCTTTCATTTATGTCAAGAGCACCATTATTTGTTTGAGCATGCCAATGCATGTGAGAAGGTCCAACTTCAATTATTTCACCTTCTGTTAATATGTGGGGATCAGATTGCATCCATCTAGTCTTACTAGAGTTAGCTCCCTTCACAACACTATCCTTTTTAAGCCTCGTAATTAGATTCTCACCTCCAGAAGAGAGTGGACTATGTTTAGTAAAGGTCCTCCTCAGTGTCGCATTGGAGGAGTCATTCTCAGGGTAAGGAGACATTGATGAAGCATGACCTGCTTTTGCGTCATTCTTTGATTCATATCGGATTTCAAGTATTATAGCAGAACGAAGAACAGACTCAAATGCCTGCAGAATCTGAGCTCTGTAGTTTTCGGCTTTGGACTTATTGATACGTGAGCTAAATATTAGTTGCACTGTTGGTGCTGTTGGAAGAAAGGAAGCTGATGTTAGAAAATGATTGCTAGAAAGACAATCTAGCAACACTTTGCATCAAGTACTCAAGTGAAAGACCACATAAAGTTATACGGATTGAGATTGAGAACACCAATTAACCACTATCAGAGGCATTGCAGTTTAGAATATATGTGCAAAGCAACAACAGTAAAAAGTTAAAACAGTACAAATAGAATTTTATGAGCTTAGCTAGCTACATGCTTCTACATTGCTGCTTTCTTCCATACACTTTGACTTCAGCAGTAAAGTTATAATGTTTGTATTCCTACACTTAAAAGGATGCCATAAACCCAATGATAGATATCCGATACTTTGTTCAGAGCTGAGATAAAAGCAAGAGTACTGCATCTTACTTCAGAAAAAATCCAAGAGTTACTAGAAACACCAATACCACAAACAAAAGCAAGCAAAAATTTGGTTAAAATGTCCTTTTATACTGTTTATATAAAATATTTCTAAACGAGCTTTTCCTCTCTGTTTTAAGTACTGAATCTCTCTTTTTTTTTTTTTTTAATATTAAGCACTGAATTACGGAAATTTATTCTTGGACAAATTGTGATGATTGCAAAAACTGATATGGATGACAGATTGAGAACCTTACCTGTGCCTAGGCTGACAGAGTTTAGCCTGGCCTCTTTAGCCATCATTTTTCTCAATGTATCTGATTGGATACTCTCAAGCACAGCTTGCCAGATCATTTCATTTTCTGTTTTTCTGTGTTTAGTTCCCTCATTTGCTCTGAGAGAACTGGTTGACAACACATGACCATTTTCTGTGTGTTCAACAGTTCTCCTTTCCCCATAAGACTTGCCTGCCAGGTTACCTTTATGCTCAACTGCTGAGGCCCTCCCTATACCCCTATCAGGAAACGAACCAATCAGCACACCATGGTTCAAACTTGTACTAGTTGATGAACTAGGCAACAGGTACTGTTTATCAGGAGCAAGCTGAAGCAGAGCAGCTGTAAGCCAGGTTGTCTTGTCACTAGAAACCCTCAACTGCTTTTCAGCTTCAGATAGTGTTTTCAAGGCCTGGCGTAGTTTTTCCATATCTTCCTTTGACACTGGAAATCATGGCAAAAGAAAAGGAACTAGATTATGCCAATGCAGAATTTTATCGTAAGAGAACAGTGATGCTGGAAAACAATACGTTTTGAACTATACTGTGGCTAATGAACATTGCTTACAGGTAGGACATTTGAAGAACTTTCTCCTGGGCCTTTCTCGAGTAAATGCATAGGAACCAGCAAGAATATCAGTAATTATTGTGGCAAGCTGAGACATTAGTGCTAAAGGCTCAACACCGGTTTCTGTGATGTCTCGTAGTGTCTTCACTGTGTTCACCGTATCGGCAGATAGTGCCAAATCAAGCAAATCAACCAGTTTATCATCAGACACCAGGCCAACCTGTAAAACAAATGGGGAACTATTGTGTCAGAGTAGACCGGATGATGAAGAGAACTAAATGAAAACAGAGTTATGGTCCCTGACACAGGGATACAAAATCAGTTACTACCTTAGTTCAGCACAGAAATAAGAATACACCAGTAAGATAGTAGTGCTTGCAATTTGCATCTGTCCATACTTTAAAGGACGTTTGAATACTAGATATATGGGGAAACAAATTTGCACACTACTACCTATTTAATTAAATTATATGACATGTTTCAGCAGCACTAAAGTTATCAAGATCTTGACCGTAAAATCCTCCAGAAATTTATATTCAGCCATAGAAATTGCAGAGTAACGTGGGCAAAAAAAAAACATAGATGACAGTGACACTGTAATGCTTGTGAGATATCTTACCAATTCTTGGACAAGAGACAAGGAAATCCTTTGCCCCAGCAAACTGAGTTGATCAAGAGTCATCTCGGCATCCCTCAAAGATCCATCAGAACGGGATGCAATTAGCTTCAGTGCATCTTTATCAACATCTAGACTCTCGCTGGTGCAAATCCACTGCAATGTATTGACAATGTCGGACTCCCTCAGCTTTGGGAAAAAGAACTTCTGGCATCTCGACAGGATGATATGAGGAAGTTCAAGGTTTGGACTAACAAGGATAAACACAACACGACGGGGCGCCCGGTCCACAACTTTAGAGATAGCATTCCAAGTGTCAGTTGGCAGCGTATCACAGTCATCAAATATAAACACCCTGTAGTGTGATGGAGCTGGTGAAAGCATCACGTTATCGAGGACGTCCACAATGCCATCCATGTCGATGTTGCCAACAGGCCCAATCTCCATCAGGCTCCTGCTCTTGCCAAGATTGTGAGCGATGCACGACGTGCAAGAGTCACAGGGCCTGGGGTGCTCAGAGGAGAGGCAATTGAGTGCCTTGGCAAAGACACGGGCGCATGAAGTCTTGCCCGTGCCGTGCGGCCCATAGAACACATACACCAAACCAATCTTCCTCCTCAGGATGGCGTTCGACAGCGCCTGCACCACCAAGCTCTGCCCAACAACGTCTTTGAACGTCTTTGGTGCGAATTTCTGTGTCAGGCTACGGTGACGCCCACGGCCATGCTGCGAGGCCTGTGACTTCTGCCCTGACTGAGACTCAGACAGCAGGTCGGAATCCATCTCGCTGGTCTGGTTAGAGAAAATCCCAAGCTCTCCAGAATAGCTTCCAGAGATGGCGCCAATGCGGTTGCGAGCACCGGAGGTGGCAGCCTCAACCAGCAGGGGCAGCGCGTCCGAGTCCGAACTGGTCGACGAGGCCAACCTCTCGGACTTAACGGGGAAAAGGGGACGCGAGGCATTGACGCCGCCACCTGAGGCGGCGGCTTCTTCAGACTTCCGCCCCGCCGCCGACTTGGAGTCGGAGAGGCCGCACGAAAGGCTGCGGCCGGGCATGTCGAGGATGGACTTGCCGCGGTGGTGCAGACGCGACCAGTTCCACGGAATGCCACAGACGTTGCGCGAGTCCTGCGGCAAATGCTGCTGCAGCTCCTCCCCGCCATCGTCGTCGTCGCCGCCGCCGTCGCCATGGAACAGGTATCTGTTGCCGCAGACGGCCTCCTGGGAGCTGGAGTTGACGGAGAGCGCGGCCGTGCGGTCCGGAGGCTTACTGACAGCGGTGGCGCGGCGGCCGGCCCGGCGTTTGAACCGGCGGGGCGGGCGTCGGCTGGGTTTCGGGTTGGGGTGGGGGTTCTCCGCGAGCTGGTCCAGGAGCGTCTTGAGCGCCCCGGCGCTGCGGCGGGACTTGGTGGCGGCGGGGAGATCGACGGCGTCGTCCTCGGTGTCGGCGTCGGCGTCGGGGTCGGCCGCCACCCTGGACGACTCGACGGAGCGGCGCGTGGACGGGTCCCGGAGCGATCGCGAGCATTGCAGCGCGATAAGGTCGCGCATCAGCGACGCGGACGCCACGGACGCCGGGCTCCGCCTCCGGCCCGACGACGACGCGCCTCCCGCTCCCGCTCCCCCGTGACCGTGCGCGTGCCCGTGGTGGTGTCGGAGGTGGATGCAGTTGGTGAGGTGCGCGTGGCCGCGGAGGTGGCCCCCGGCACCGCTCCCCGCCGCGGCACGGTCGGGCGCCGGCATTGCGGTGCGGCACGGCGCGTGTCTGTCTTCCCCAGTACCCACTGCCTTGCCCTTACCGACGCGCGAGGGGGGTGAGAAAAAGGACGGCCGCGTCCGCTAGGCCGCCGGTTGGCGTGTGTGTGATTATGGCGGTGTGGTTCGGAGATTTCGCCTTTTTCGTTGGATCCTGGAGGGTTTCACGGGAAGAGCGACGGAGGTAGGAGGAGGCAGGGCGAGTCAGCTGGGTGTGTGTGACGGGGTGGGTGGCGAGTGGCCTCCGGCCTCCGCCTCGTGCCGGGTGTGGGAGCGGGCGGTGCTTTCGGAGCTCGCGCCCGAGGCGTCGGGGGCAGGGGAGGCCGGGAGAGGGAGGGGGATCAGTTCAGAGTTCAGAAGGGAAGCCAGAGCACGGCACGGGGCCACGAGGGCAATGGGCCCTGGGGTCCGCGCATGTGCGGCGGGCATGGCGGCACGGCGCTACGGGCACCCAGCAGAGCCCAAAGCTATGCCCCGTCTCGTTCGGCATAGCAAGCAGCTGGGGCCGGGAGCGTTTCACTGTTTCGCTTGCTGTTGGAGGCTGGAGCGCTGCTGGGGTGGAGTTGTCGCGTCGCCCGCGGAAGGCGGCAACAATAGTCCGTTGATAAGACGCGGCAGAATGTGCCGTGGGCCGTGGCCTTTGGCTGCGGTCTACCGTCCGCGGACTCCAATGGAGTGGAGTAAACTATCCCTGGGTGCGCCATGGGCGTACTGCGTCTCGCGTGCGCGCCCTTGGTTGATGCTCGCCGCGTGTCACCGGTCCTAATCAAACGGCACACCCTCAGGCAATCAAACCGCACACCCTCAGCTGGAGACAAATCAAAGACGGCTCGGCTCCTTAGAGTCTGCTCTTCTCACGCACGACATGCTAACAGATCGCATCGAGGCCTAGCTAGTGCGGGCAGTTGCACGCCGCTGCCATCGCTTCCGTCCAAAAGCAGCCTCCATGGTATACGTTGGAGGCCAAGAAGATGTCGCAACTGTTGATCTGACGGCATCATCTTCTGTAACGGAGGCTTGGCTGCCATCGCCCCATTCGCTAGTCCAAAACCTGGCTGAAACTGGCTAATTCTGTAAGAGAGAAATACTGTATCGGCTAAAAGATGTACAGTAATTTGTGAGAGAAACAGCCGACTGGTCGAAAAAATCAGACCAGCGAACGACGCCCATGTGTGGTACCAATTGACGCCGCCGGTGGTAGTCATGGCTGTCGTGGAGAAGAAGATCACATAACACAGGTTGGGTATTTGTGGGGGGTATGGCCTCTGGTATCCACAATATAAGACATGGACCGTGCCCTAAGGTAGCCCAGCCCACAAGACGAAGATTTATGGTGCACGGTGCGGCTCGCCATATACCGCAAGACATCAAGGGTGATATCCTGAAGATGCTACGAGATCTGTTAGGATATGCTCGATCCAGTGATTCATGTAACCTGTTATTACTTACCGGTTATCTTTTAGATCTAACCGACTTGTAACCCTACCCTCCGGCTATATAAGGCGGGTAGGGGACCCTCTCAAAACACACGCAATATCATACGATAGCCAATACAAACCAACAGACCACAGGAGTAGGGTATTACGTCTTGCTGATGGCCCGAACCTGTCTAACTCTTGTATCTCTGTTGCCTTCTTGTTCTTATTACACGCACCTCCGCCGATTAATCTACCTTCGTGGGATATCACTCGGAGAACTACCGACGATATTCTGTCGACGGTTGGCGCGCCAGGTAGGGGAGTGCGTGCTGTTCCCATGACGAACAAGATGGTACACTTTTCAAGCTCTTCGTCCTCTCTAGAGCCCGGCCAGATCTTTACGGTCGGATCGATCTCTTGGGTCATCAATGCTGACGGAGACGAAGAGATCTTCAAGCCGGTGTAGATTGATTCTGCGCCGACTACACCAATGCCTGCAACAACAGATCTGATCTCGGAACCGCCTTCGAGGTCGTCTTCACCAACAACTCGACGCCTGCTGTCCCGCTACTCGAGGAAGCAGGTCGGCAACGACGATCTGATCGCATCCATCGATCAGGTCGTCCAGAAGCTCGCCGACTGCCTCTCCCTCACGGAATCAGCTCTGACCATTCCAGTTTGGCGCCGACCACCTTCCAGTTCCGATCTATCGGAAGCCGATCGGGAAACTCCAAGGGATACGACCACCATCCATCAAGATGTCCTAAGGGATAATTTCGTCGACTAGATTGGAGACATCTATCCTCTCGCCGACCCGATCGCCGACCAGCTCTCGTCGATTGTCAATATGCTGCAAATCGGCCAACGTTCCGAAGAATCCCTCCACACCATCCTGGAGGAAAATCCAGACTCTGAGTCCCAGGGCTCTACGGAGATTGTCGCCGAAACCGCTAGCGTCCAACCTCTTTTTTCACCCTTCCGAGGAGGCGAGATTTTTAATGTTAGCATTGACAGTCCTCCACGGGATGGAGAAACCAATGAGGACCGCGCAGCTCGCGTCAACAGAAATGCCAACCATGCGCAGCGCCGAGCGAATGAGGCCGCCATTGTGTTAGCCGAGGCTGTTCGCAACGGAGAACAACTCGACTTGCAAGGGAGGCCACGCCCACTTACGCCCACTCCGCTGTAACTTGGCCGTGGCCGCTAATGAGCTCGCTCGGCTCGAACAAACGCCAGAGGTCGCCAAGGTCACCGCAATGCTTAAAGCTACGCACTTGAAAGCTCTAGTTTGGTTTTGGTTAATTGATAAAACCCTAAGTGCTAACCTAGTTTATCGAGTGATTATGAGATAGGTAGCATTACTCCAAGTAATGAAGCAATGGTGAAGATCATGGTGATGGTGATGGCATGGTGATGATCAAATGCTTGAACTTAGGAAAGAAGAAAGAGAAAAACAAAAGGCTCAAGACAAATGTATAAATAGTAGGAGCCATTTTATTTTAGTGATCAAGACACTTAGCGAGTGTGATCATATTTAGGATCGATAGCCGTACTATTAAGATAGGTGAAACTCGTATCGAAATGCGGTTATCAAAGTGCCACTAGATGCTCTAACTCATTGCATATGCATTTAGGATCTAGTGGAGTGCTAACACCCTTGAAAACATTTGTGAAAATATGCTAACACATGTGCACAAGGTGATACACTTGGTGGTTGGCACATTTGAGCAAGGGTTAGAAATTTCACCGGCGGAGTGTCCGCCCGTAGAGTGCGGACAGTCCGACGGTGCCACCGGCGCTCTTTACAGAAAAGACGAAGGTCACTGTAAGTGATCGGACGCTGGACCCGGTTGGACCTGCACGTCTAGTTAGTAGCAGCAGTGAGTGCGTGGTCTTGGTCTTCAACCGGACGCTGGCAGGGTGTGTCCGGTCAGTGCTGACGTACGCTATCGTGGGGCACACAGAGGAGACATTGAGTGACCGGACGCTGGGTGAGTCCGGTCGAGCGTCATGAAATTTCGCGTTTGGAACCTTACTGAAAACGACCGGACGCTGGGGTCCAGCGTCTGGTCACTTTCTAACTAACACGTCTGGTCATCACTTGACCGTTGAGATAGGGCGATCAGCGTTTGAAGCAGGGGACACGTGGCGAAGATCTGAGGACCGAACGCTGGGGTCCTGCGTCTAGTCAAAACGACCGGCGCATCCGGTCACCCCGCGTTGTGCCCAGTGAAGGGGTACAACAGCTCTATTTCATGGGGGCTTCTATTTAAGCCCCATGGCCGGCTCAAGCTCACTCTCTTGGCCATTTGCATTGGCATAGCAACCTTGTGAGCTTAGCCAAAGTCCTCCCACTCATCTCCATCATTGATCCATCATCATTATGAGATTGGGAGATAATCCAAGTGCATTGCTTGAGTGATTGCATCTAGAGGCACTTGGTGTTCGTGTTTTGCTGTGGGATTCGCTTGTTGCTCTTGGTGGTTGCCACCACCTAGACGGCTTGGAGCAGTGGAGGAGGATTGTCAGGAGTTGGTGATTGTTCGTGGCCATCTCCGGTGATTGTGAGGGGATTTGTACCTTCCCCGGCGAAGCGCCGAAAGGTAACTCTAGTGCATTGCTCGTGTTATTGAGTTACCTCACTTGTGGGTAGGTTCTTGCGGTGTCCAATTGTGTGGACGAGGTTCGTGTAACACCTCTTAGCCGTCGAACCACCAAGTGTTGGTCGACACAATGGGGACGTAGCGTGTTGGCAAGCACATGAACCTCGGGAGAAAATTGGTTGTCTCTTGCCCTTTGGTATTCTCTCGGTGATTGATAAAGTATTCATCTTGTGATCGATTTACTCCTCCACGAGGCGGTATAATCACCTCACTTACTCACTTACATTTCCGCAAACTAGCTATAACAAGCTCTTTAGTGTAGCTAGAATTGAGAGCTTGCTTTGTGGATTAAGTTCATCTAGTGGAACTCTTTAGTGTAGTTACCTAATTGATTGTGTGCCTAGTGATTATAACAACTAGAATTGTTGGATAAGTGGCTTGCAACTCTTTTAGAGCTAGAGCAAGTTTGCTTATCGTTTTTTGTCATACTAATTAAATTGTTCTAGTTGGTTTGTAGATTTTTAAATAGGCTATTCATCCCCCTCTATCCATATTAGGACCTTTCAAGTGGTATCAGAGCCGTGGTCACCGTTTGATTGAAGGCTTAACAACCTCGGTGTTAAATTATGGCTCAAGTTGTGTTCAACCATGTGGGGGGTAAACCACCGTTCTTTGATGGCACATGTTATGATTATTGGAAGAGAAAGATGAGGATGTATCTTGGTTCAATCAATGATCAAGTATGGGAGGTGACCGGGAATTACTATACTATCATTGATCCCAATAATCCCACCAACCTAGACAAGACCAACAAGCAATGCAATACAATGGTTCTCAACACCATATACAATGCCATTGATTCCAAGGTGTTTGAGCAAATCAAAGATTGTGAAAGAGCTAATGAGGTATGGAGGAGATTGGAGGAAACATATGAGGGCACCTCGACGGTAAAGAGTGCCAAGTTGTA